CTGAGTTGAGCTTGGCTAGTTTACGCCCATTTATTTCAAGATTCAGGTCAAGGTTACTGTTTCCGATACAAATCCAGCCGCATTTATCAATGTTGAACTTTAGACAGGATTCAGTACACCATGTTGTGAGACCACTTAGTTCAAGATGTATTTTAGTTACCATATCGCTTAGTTCATGAGCGTAGCAGGAGTAAACGACTTTGAGGTCGTCAGCATATAGGAATGATTTACCTGAGGTGAAGCAGTTGCAAATGCTGTTAATGTATACTGTAAATAAAAGTGGACCTAGGACACTACCTTGCACAACCCCACTTGTGATCTGCCTAGGATGAGACAATACAGATCCAACCTTGGTTATTTGTACCCTATTGCTTAGAAACGATTTTAACCAGCTCAGTAATGGATTGCGAATCCCACACGAATACAGCTTCTCAAAGAGAATACTGTGAGATACCATGTCAAATGCCCTAGATATATCGAAGTAGAGAACAACAACTAGCTTACGTGCTTCGCGACTACTAGTGATGCAGTTGAAAAAGTCGAAGTGGCAAGTAACGCAAGACCTATTTTTGAGAAATCCGTGTTGAGACCTTGTAACAAGATCTTCCTTAAGTAGATAGTCTGACAACTGATCTTTGACGACTTTCTCCATGACTCGCGAGACAACTGGGGTTATATTTATAGGTCTGTAATTGCGGACGTTTGCCTTATCACCGGATTTATAGTGTGGAATTATGAAGCTAGTTTTCCACTCATTAGGGTAAGTGCCAGTGTCCATAGATATTGAGAAGAATTTAAGAAGCAGTAGGGGTATATCACACCCACTCTTTTGGAAATTATAGAAGCAAGGCCATCTGGTCCCGTGCTAGTGGAAGGTTTCAGGCTTTTAACTGCCTGTTCTATTAATTGGTCGGTGAACCCTATGCTTCCGAGGAAAGAGCTAGTAAGGGGGCCGGTTTCACCAGGAATGCGCGTTTCTAAACTGAAGTTTGCAAACCATTCACTGAATATTTCACAGATGGTGGCAGGCACATTGTAGATAACTTTGTCATGAAGTAAATAGGGGATGTCCCTCGTCGACTGCATTCGTTTTTTAAGAAGTGTTGTTAAGTTATAAACTTTGGAGGTACTTTCAAGTGCCCTTAATTCTTCGTCGAGGTCCTTTTGAGAGCGTTGGCGCTTGATAGATTCAAGAGACTCATGGATTGAGTGCAGTAGTGATATATCCTTAGTGGAATAGTACTGTTTCTTCAACTTCCTTAACTTAATGCGGCATGCCCTCGGAATGTATTCAGCTTGGTGTCTACTTAATTTCACTACTCTCTTAGGAGCAACAGTATCTAGACAAAGGATAACATTCCTGTAAAATAGGGACACTACAGTCTCCAGGGAGTCAGTGGTAAAATATTCATCCCAGTGACAGAGTCGAATGAGTTCTTGGACTAATCCCCAGTCTGTATGTTTGTAACTACGACAAATCAAGCTCCCTGAATCCTGTTTGTTTCCTGTATTTAGTGGTGAGAAAGGCAGAGAGCAGAGCACCATTCTATGGTCACTACTGGAAAATCTGTTACCAACATAGGTGGAGACTGGGACTGTGTCATGACAAAACACAAGGTCCAACATGTTGTCACCACGAGTAGGTGTCTGGACGTGTTGCTGCCATCCATAACAATCGATAGTGGCAAGTAATTCGTCGAAGCGTTGGGGGCCGGAACTACTTAACCAATTGACTTCTGGAAGATTGAAGTCCCCTGCAATTATTTTGTAATTAGTACTAAATGATGAGGCGTGTGCGAATGATTTAGCTAATAACGCATCAGTTTCTTTGGTTGAGCTTGGTGCTCGATAAACACAGCCTATGAGAAGCTTGTACTTATCTCCTTGTAAGACGACCCAGAGTGAATCAGGTACCTCGTTCAGTATTTCATCTTCCACCTTACTGGCTACGAATGAGTTATGTATATATATATGAGACATCCTCCACCACGCTTGCAGTCTCTATTTGCACGGTGTACAGTGTAATCATCTATGCCTATATGCACATCAAGTACAGAGTATGAGCACCATGATTCAGTAATCAGAGCTACAGTAGGCTTGGCGATAAATAATAATGCCCTTAGTTCAGATATCTTATTGATTAAGGAACGTGCATTAATTAGCAATATCGTGGATAAGTCACGGGATGCTACAAACTGGCTTAAGATATCACCATAACCTAACTCTGTTTGTGCGTCAACAACGCAAGAGTTTATGAATGATACGGGGGTCGGACTGGGTGTCTGTACATCGGGGTTAGAGTGCAGTGAGGTGGTCCTAGGTGCCATGGGTCGTACCAGTGATTCGGGACACTTGGAAAATTTACCATTTGTTCCTGGATACAAGGATAGTAGATGTTGGGCCTGGGTTGACGGTTAGAAAGCATAGCATCAAATGGTCTACCCATCCACGTGCTATCCATCATACCGTGGTAAAGAGCCAGTGTTGGTCAGACCAAAACATGGCTTCATCAGTCAATGAAATGCACAACAGTTAGTTTAAGCCACGTAGGAAAATGTAGACTTCCTGGTTGGGGTCCTCAGGACGGTAAACACCAATGGCTTGGGACAATTGGTGATATGGCTGGCTCAAAATCGTTGTCAATGGCTGGCGCAGATGCACCCGCTCCTTGTGACTTATAATTTCCAATAAAACTATATTTTGTTCTTCGATAGTGCTATTCTTTTTGCCTCATATCTCTGTTTACTCTCTGTATTTTGCATTCCTTTTTACTTTCTTCTCTTGCTTTGTGTGGTACATGGAGTATGGCGACTCGAACTGCTGCATATCGGTGCAAAGTTCTATGTTGAAACCAGTCAGTCATCACACACCATCTGGTTATCTTTCAATAAATGCATAGAAATAACTAATTTCTTAAAGACTACTAATCTTGACACCGGTTGGAATCTCAGAAGGGGCATAAGTTCCACCAAGGTTGCAGAAGTGCGTCGGTGGCACAGCGTTAGGACGCTCGCCGACCATGCACATGGTCCGGGGTTCGATCCCCGGCCGATGCACTCCTTTACCTCTCTAAGCGAGTAATGTGACTGGTAAAGAAGGAAGGTTGGGCATGAGGCTAGCAACCCCATCCTGTAAAAAATAAACACTGCTACAGAAACTTCAAGCCTCTAGCTTGAAGCCGTATGTTTCACTGGGAACGTGAAGGAAAATAAGGTTGCAGATACTCCTTGTCGACGACTCCCAACAACCATGAAGCCTAGGTCCAAGGTTTCTCTAATCGATTGCCTCCAACGATCTAATACTACTAAATCTTATTAGTCTTTCATTCTAAAATCCGATGAACTTTTATGATCTGATAACCTAACTGCTCATATTGGCAGCCAAGTTAAACTTTAGGCACCAGTAAGTAGCAGTGGAGTGCGGCCGTACCAATGACCTTGAAACTTTCGGTGGGCAAGTTAGTGAGACCTGGTAAATAATATTGTAATCGTGGATAAAATATGCTTAACGGAGCGTTATTTTGTTAAGTGGGATATCTGGGAAGTTTCAGGTTAGGTTTGGAAAAGATGAAGTTAAGATTTAGGCTAAGGACAGGTCAGGATTAAGTTAACCTAATGAGGGCGATATTCGGGTTGGTTCGAGTTAGTTTAGGGATATTATTATATTAGGGTTAGGTCAAGGAAAAACTAGGGTTAGAAGACCTAGATAATCACACGCATAGAATGTGGTCAAATTACTCTGTTGATGCTCCAATCCAAAACTGAGAGATATTTTTTGTCATATGTCAGAGAAGGGTATCCTGTGTAACAGTTTCATTCCTTTTAACTCATCATTTTCACGAATATACGTATTTTAAACGCAAAAATCGCCTTTATCATGTGGTTGGTTCGTTTAAGGTCACTTGTCTGTTGGTACTTACTGGTGCTTAAAGTTAAACTTTGCCATATCGACTAGTCCGTTATGAGTTTTGCACAAGGTTTAATGTAATATTAAAATGTACACACTGACAAATTCATACAATTCTTTCCATTAATAAACTTGAACAAAGCGAGAACGATAAATGTACCAGGATAATATGAGTTCATATTCTACTATTTCAAGGATTCTTCTCAACTACCTACAAGTTGAACAATGCAAGGAAAAATATAAATTACATAACACTTTTGAACATACTTTTTCCACGATGACAAGAAGTAATTCATAGGAACTTAGATTAACATAAGTTTGGAATGATGTAAGTTGTTAAATTATTAAGAGTTAAAAGGATTGAGTATTTGTAACATAATTAGACCAGTACTCTTGAGAATAGAGATCAAATTTGTTTTAGGTAGAAACGAAGTTCAACTGGAAAGAGTATGACAACATAATAGGTTATGTAACTACAGGAAATACTTCTAAAAATGGTAAAAAATAGGGGTAGGGTGAGTAATCTTCAGATGAAACAATAACACTTTCTAAACAAGACAGATGATACAAGGAAATACATGACGGAATAAAATTTTATATTTTGCTGTGTAAATTTAATCAACAAGGCAGTGCAGGATTCAACACTGTCTTTTTCTGCGTGCATAGATTTGGATTTAATTGATTGACGGCGATTGACTCAGGGAAAAAAGTAGCAATGTAGGTTTCTTCTACTTGATGATTTATATAGAACGCCTTTACCTCGCTGAGCCAGAAATAATGCTGGTGAAGAGGAAAGGTTGGGCATGATGCTAGCAACCCCATCCTGTAAAATAAACACTGCTACAGAAACTGCAAGCCACTAGCTTGAAGCTCTACGTTCCACTGGGGAACGTGAAGGAAAAAAAAAGTTCCTGTCAATTACTCCTTATCATAGTGGAAAACACATATTCAAATGTATAATGTAATTTATACTGTTTATTTTTCATTGTTCAAGTTGTAGCCAGTTGAGAAGAATCCTTGAAATAATAGAAGATGAGCTTGTATTATTCTGGTACATTTGTTTGTTCACACTGTATTCAAGCATACACTCAAATTTATGTAAGTAACGAAAATAATACACTAACCTCTTGTGTGACACTACAGTTTTTTAAATCAATACACATCCGTGAAATTTGTAGACGATGTGCGTGTCTTTGTGCTCTTAACTCAGCTACACGCTGAGCGATTCTCTCACGAACTTCAGGACTTAACCACGCAGCTGATCCAGCACCACCCTCCGTTGCAAAATAATCTAACTCATCATCAATCACTCTGGTTCGTTTAGCACAAGTAGAATCAAACTCCAATAGTTTATCACGATTGCATAAAGCATTTATCAAGCCTGAAAATTATAAATAACACAATAAGGTTATAATAATAATAGAGATACAGAATGAGAATACTGGTGATCTGTGCAATAGGGAATTTCATCTTAACACAGACCAGTCAACCAGAAAATCATGTTGCCAGTAATTATTTCTCAGTCTACCACGTTTAAACATAACTTAAGTCGTTTATATTTGTGAAAACTAAAATTACGAATAGATAACTATCAGCAACACCAAACCAACAAATGCATCTGCTATTAAGTCTCCTTCGCCATGTAAAAGGACCATTAGTCCGAATTACTTTTTAACTAATTCGTTTAAAGTATATTTGAGCGTTTTTTCGCTCATTCACCTGCGTTCTGTTACGAGAGAGAATATAGCTACACATACAGTGATGTACATTCACTGTATCGAGTTATATGACTACAATCCTACCATGACTGTCACTGGTCTTCTACGCTAGTTTTATAGATTTGAGACAATGTTAAGTCAATGTTTAATGAACAGAATGCAAACTAACAAGCTACTGTACGATACTGATAATTATGGTAATATTCGGTCTCAAGAGTAGGTGAGGTGGAAATTGAATATGAAATCTGCTGATGAAAAGTCGAATACTTAGACAGGTGGACAGCAATCCTTTTAATTTACATTATGATTTAAAGAAACTGCATTTCTGTTACGTCGGTTTATTTGTTCAGAATCGAAATGATTACTTTGAAAAATGGGATTCTAAAAAGAAAGTTGAATAACTGAACGAAGATTATTCGAGAAATGGCTCGTTATTTTTTTCGGCGGCTGGATAGGGGAGTTTATCCTAGTTTGACCAAATATATTTTACGTAACCAAATAACTTGCCTTGCTCTAAACGCATTTGAGCTCCGGAAACTGGCTTCGTAATTATATCTTCGTCATCGGTAGAGTCTTCATGTTCAGTATTTGAAGTAACCTCTGTCGATGTAAATTCAGTATTCACTTCCTTTTTCTGCAGTTTCTGAGCTTGGCGGGCAATTCGATAATATGGAGTTTCAGTACCAGCAGCCCAACCTACTTGCATAAGTTTATTTCTCAACTTTTCACTTTGTTTAGTATTCATTGCTATCTGATCTTGTTCTTCTCGTGTACATACAAGATTTCCACAATAATAGCATGGACCTGAACCCTCTTGTGCACAGACAATACGACCACAATTGACACAGTTATTTACTAACTGATGCTTAGTTGCTAAACACTGGCAAGGATGTCTACCAGGAAACAAGGAAACAAGTTGGTCACTATGAGCTCCTTCACAAAATAATGGATAAAATTTAGTTTTCTGTTTTTTCTTCGACACATTCTGTGATCGTACAGATGATGGTTGTTCTGTATCATTCTACATAACAATGAAAGAAAGGAAAAAAACGTTTGCAACGGTATTTAAAAGATATCAACTCATGGATGAATACAACTTTAGAAGCATAATTTCAGATGAATAATCTAATTATTGAGGTGGATAAAAACAGAAGGGTACAAAAAATCGACAAATAAAGAAAGAATAAGTTCATTAAACTTAACGCCCTCAACAGCATGTGGATAACAAAATCTCACTGCCTATGGTAACTGATTTGTTTAAATAGGAAATTACTGAAAACGTGAATTTAGCATCTACAGTAAGAGCAGTATTCATTAAGATGAGACTGAATAGTCAGCGATTTTCTGCACTCCTCTTCTTGAACAATAAAAAGAGAGAGAGGTTTTTCCTTCAAATTATGATAATGCTCACCAGATATATTTAGCCCAAGTAAAGGTGCTGAATTTGGTTGGTAATTTTTCAGAATGAACTAATCATACAGTAGTTTCGTCTAAAAATAACAGAATCTCTAGATCGAGAAATCACTCAATAGATTATCCTTCTTCCTATAGATACCTCAGTAGTACGTGATAAGCGTATTGTGCATGATTATAAGTTCCGAATGTATTTACAGATAGTCTGTCATTTAGATTCGTGCATTTGGATTACCTCTGGGAGTCTCTCTTGTAGATTAGCTTACTAAGAAGGACTGAGTATGGCTACTAAAGTATACATAGGGGTGAAATATGTTTAGTAACGAAGCGACGAGCTTATTTATAGCAATGATACAAATAGTTTTTTTCTTCAAATAACATTGTAATGTTTACCTCAATCGTAACAGGACAAAAAAGTTAAGTGTAGTGTAATTCAACCTGACATCAATGTATAGATTTGTATGGTGTATGCATCTAGTGGTTTACACTTGATGTGTAGTGATATTACCTGATTTCCAAATCTGACTAGTTGTAGAAGACTTACGACTCACAATGATCTGGCTTAAAGCTAAGTGCTTACACCAATGCGCTGTTTCCAATTCACATCAGTTCATTGGATAATCAAAAGTTAAAAAAATTATTGAGTAAAATCGAAATGGAGACTTGTTTGGATGTATTATTGTTAAGCTTTCTGAAACTGTGAGTATATTTTCAAATACGGACATACCTTTTTTGAAATCGAGATTTCATCTAAACAGTCACTTGGAGCGTTAGGGTTTGAATTAGTTTTACGATATCTCTGTAAGGCAGAAAAAACAACACATTGAAAGATACTATGCATATGTAGAAACTGTTAGTCATTATTGGAGGTTAGCGACAATAATTCAGGCAAAAGTGATCTCATATTGCTATGGCTGCATTGAACTAGGTTTTTAACGTTGGATTTTGTACCAAGGTGAAGCAGTTTAAGTTGCCACATTTTACGCCCTTATTTTCCAAACGAAACGTAGGGCTTCAAACTTGAGCTTTGGAGTTTCATTAGCAATGGTAATTTCTTTTACGGCGTGAAGTTGCTAGCCTTGCGTCCAACCACCCCTCTTCACCAGGCATACTACCGGATAAACGAGGTTTAGGATAGCATCGGCCGGGGACCGAACCCAAGGCACCGTACGTGGTTGGCGAGTATTCTACCATCCAGTCACCAATGCAAAAAAACATACACAGTCAGGAAAATAAGAAACGTAGAGGAACTATAATAAACGGAAACGTATGGGAGAAAGATTAATGAGGATTTAATGGATGTGGGGAATCACAAAGAGTGAATACATTTGCGCCATTGAAAATGATTTTAAACAATACCAACAACAATCTCAAACCATTTCTTTCTTAGCATCTTGAGGACCCCAACCACGTTGTTTACACCTCCTCCTACATGGCACAAACCAACACTCAAAGACCTCATGAATTGATATCATGCTCTCGTTCAACCACCCCTAGCTTTTTCTAATCTAATCCCATGTCACTTAACATTGTTTGATAACAAAGGTGGCGTCTCAGTACGAGTAATACATGCCTTAAACATCCCAATCACCGTAGCTTCACGAATCCATAGACTGACTTCCCTTCCTCATCTACTACTTAATGCTTAGCCCTAACCTTACCATTCTTAACTATATTATTGTCAAATATTGTTGCGTCATATAAGAGGGATTAAGGTTCCTCCTAAATACGAATTACTTCGATGTGTGGATATTTTAACTCCGCTGTATATAAGGACTGATTTGATGCACTAAAGGAGTTTTCATTCCCAAAATTTAAAACAATTAATGTAATACATTTGGTTGGCATTATTATAAGATGTTTCATCTAGAAAATATGTATTTGCGCAATGCACTTCTAACCATCTGATCGCACATTTACTTGTTAATTATTATCCTTCTTATTCTTAAGTCACCAGTTTATTTATTCTAACTGGCTATTACATTTTTCACATGAATTGAATTGACATGTAAATGTATGATCACGTTGTTCAAAGTGTATTGCGCAAACACATTATATTTCTTTAAATAAACTTCATCTGATAGTGTTACCCAAATTGATGCATTAAATCCACGAAGTAAGCTTTTAAACTCTATAGATTCTTGGTTGAAGATAATTGTTTTGTATGAAGACCTAATATTGGAATTTATTTAGCAGTTATACCAACAAGAACCATTGCTAAGAAGATAGGAAAAAAGTGGAGTGTGAAAAGTTGTTGGCAGTTACTATTTCCCATGGATTACGAGAAAAGTACTTGAACAGTTCATCTGATTATATTCTACCCCAGAGACTACGTTATATGAATACAAAGCAGACCCACTCAAACCATATCGAGCATTTGATTATTTTCAAGCATTACAAGATCACAGTTATTCTACACAGTACATTAACTACGAACAGGTGTAATAAGCTTTTAAAAAAAGGCCTGATAAGTGAATAGCAAGCTGCTAAATATTGGGATCGAATGAGACTTAAATTTATGACTTATTGGCTCAAAATTAAGTGCCTACATAAATGAGACACTCTAAGAGCTAAGATGCTATACGACCGTCTTGGTGACCACCTGGTATTCACATAAAAAACTTTGAACAACTGACATGGCAGTACTATATCAAGGTGTACTTCAAAAGACAAACAAGTGAACTGAGTAAAAGGACACAATGAAATGAGATAAAAGGGACTAAATGACAGTAGGTAAATATGGATGAAAAGTAACGGTCTAGGCCTATTAGGTGTTATTATAATGTACTTAAGGTTGAATCATGCATGAATCAAGCCGTTTCCTTACACAGAACATACCAAAGAATATATACCGAAAAAATCCTTACCAGCTGACAGAATAGTAATGTATACGAAGTTTTACTGTGCTTTATATACGTTGAAACTATCCAAGGGAGTGTAAGCCTTTTTACTCCTTTTCGTTCCCAGTGGAACATAGGGCTTGAAGCTTGAGCTTCGAAGTTACTGTAGCAGTGGTGTTTATTTTTACGTGGTGGGGTTGCTAGACTCATGCCCAACCTTTCCCCTTTGCCGGTCGTATTACCGGCTTAGTGAGGTAAAGGAGTGCATCAGCTGGGGATCTAACACCGGACTACATGAGTGGTTGGCGATCTATCTATTCTACCGCTAAGCCACCGATGCAAGCTTAAATCACTGTAACAAAGTCTGCCATATTGATACAACAGTTAGTATTTAAGTGTCACCTAAAAACAGGGTGGTCGATACACTTAACAAATACTTGTGATTGTATCACTTTTTACCAAAGATATATGCAAGTGAAAAATTAGAGGAGGAGTGAAGACAAAAATGTACAAGCTGATCAAATAGATATTGGGACTTGTAATACAGTCTCTAAAACGAGGATGGTATGCTATTGATAGGATATGATGCCATCTTCGCTCTCTTCCCTTTACTACATTTTAGATCTACAGTCTTGAGGATTATGAGCTAATACTATAAAACTTCTTTCTTCCCATGACGTTCACGGCCATCGTGATGAATATAACTGAGTTTACCGTTAACCACTGGTATCATTTCTGACCTGTCAATGGAGTTCTGCCGATGTTGTAAAGTAGCATTTATCATTGAGCTGTGATATGACATGTTCTTTAGAGGTGAAATACTTTAACGTACCAATTTAAACGAATTTTGTAATATATAAGTTTAAACACCTCACTCATCTCTATGCCTACAGATCAAATGTCAAAACTATGAGAACTCCATTTTATGTCTTAAGACATTATGCTCAAATACAATACTTAACCGTAACTTTTTTAATATCGGTTTTTGTAGATGATAAGCTGACAGTTGGGAGAATAGAAAGTAACTATTGGATATCTTTCGTCAGTGATTACGATTGGCCTGAAAGAGTAATTAGTATCGACAGATAATTAGGACAAGTAATTCAGAAAAGCATTCCAAGTAACTTTAATGGATGTAAAATCATGATTCTGTATATACGCGCAAAACGTGAAAAATGGAGATTTATACTAACTTCACCGGTGAATCCGCTTCTTCGTATTTTTTCTTGTATTAAAATTTCATAGACTTGGCGATTCTCCGGTTTTCGAGTATCTAATAGGGTAGCTACACGCTTTTTGATAATTTGGGTGTCACCAACTTCCATACAAGCTCTGAATCAAAAAGCAGCAAAGTTTTATAAAAAATTGTAAAATTATTCAGACCTACTTTATAAAGTCATCTGTAGCTTTTTCTCCTAAAGCTTTAGTTAACAGAGATTTGACTTTTTCCATTGTAACCTGTGAGAATAATTACACATTCTGAAATTATTGGATTTACACATTAAGCATTTTATTATTGCACAAATAACACGACTACCGTACTTTTAAAATGTAACTTGTCAACTCTAAGCATGTTTGTGAATTTGGTAATGAGTTATACCACTAAGTTAGGGCTGATGATGCAACTTTTCTACATAATGTCAGTGGCAGTTGCTTGAAAGCTAAATGTCGATATGCATGAGACACATGCTAAAAATGTATCTCTTAAATAAAACTGGGTGAACTCCCATTCACCAAAGTAACATTTTCCTCTGACATGACTTTTAATATGCAAATCGCAATGATAACCGTTCAAAATATTTTGAATTGAGTCTTTTAAGAACTTTCACATTTGTAAGGACTTAATGAGGTGCATACTGTCAGATAAGAAAGGTAATCTACTAAGTGTTTTCAAAGTGAGCAGTTTAAACATCAAATTTTCTTTCAGAAAAACATGCCCACTTGAAAGTTGTTTTCAGTTTCACTTGCTATTTGGTACACCAGATCGAAAGTAGTTAGCGGAATTTACCTCTAAAACTTTGGGAACATCGAGACTTTTCTGTTACATCAAACTCATACTGTATTCAATAAGTACCTGGCGATTAAATCCGGAGATTGTTTTTTTAGCTAATTCCAGCCTAGAACCTCATTCTACATTAAAACTCAAGTTTTTCAGTTAAGCATTTTTAAGAATGCAACATTTACTCACTAAAATAGCACAGACTAATGCCCTGTTATTGCCAATTTTATTTGCTAATATATACTGTATAGATCAGTACGATGAACTCTTTGACACACAACAGAACTTTAGACAGTTTCCCAGAACTTCATTGATGTAGATTTGCCTAGCATGTTCCGAAAAATCAGTTTGGAACAAAATGGTTTCTTTGGAAAAAATAACCGGAAGAACTTAGTTGGAAGTGCCTTGAGATCTAGACAAAAATGGCCTTCAGAGTGAAAAGTTAACTATCACCAGAGGTAAAAGACAAACAGCTGCACAGAGTGTCAGGAATCCGGAAAGAAAAAATACTGGAATTTACGCGCAAACTGATCATATGACCTCAAAAGAGTTTTGAGTCTACTACCTGAAACAGAACCCCCTGAGTTGAATGCGCCAAGTAACGGTTTGTCACTTAACACGGTTCTTCTTTAAAAGCCGTTGGACGGTTAATCGATTAGGTGGGCTGTGAACACTGGTTAAAAATTTAGTGGAATAGTTGAGTTTCACCAACTTTTTAGTGTTTCTATGTTGATAACTAATCTTCTCATAAGCCTGATGCATAGTTATATACTTCACAACGAATCTCATTATATTAGTGTAGTAATGTATATTTGCCTGGACGCACAACCCAAAATCGGAAGGTCAAGTATTCATTGTTGATGAACAGTACATCATTTGGCCACTGCGTTATACTATATTTATGAGTATATTTGAAGTCCTATCTTAACAAAAATAGGAATATACTAGAAGAAAGCAACGGGCCACTAGACTGATATGTGCCATTAACCAATGAAGTCATTAATACAAACGGTCTTCAAAAAGAATGGTTATCCACAAAATTTCATCAAAAAGTGTTTAAAGTCGAATCAAAACACCAACAAGAAACCATCATCTAAGACCACAAGGAAATTCATTCTACCATACATGAGGAATATCTCTGAAATAGCAGCCAGAATACTGAAACCGTTAGATATAAATATAGCACACAAACCAGTAAAATCGCTTAATTCGATATTATGCAAACCAAAAGATCCAACAGAAAAAGGGAATAAAATTAATACCATCTACAAAATAAATTGTATGAACTGTAACAAGCATTACATCGGCCAAAGTGGGCGTCCCCTGCGAATCAGAATCCAAGAACATAAATCAGCCGTAAAAAGACATGATATGTATTCGTTAGTATCAATGCATGCAGACAACTATGGTCATCAGTTTGATTGGGATCACGTCAAAATCTTAAACAGAGGAAATACGAAAAGTGCCAGAGAATTCCTAGAAGCCTGGTACTCAAGCGAAAATGCGATTAACAAACACGGTAATATAGATGAAATATACCAATTAATAAAAAGTAAATCAGGTGACCAAAAAGTTTAAAATCCTAGTCAATAGAAAGTGGTCAGTACATATGTGAAGATAGTAACCAGGAGACGCAATTACATCACGCATGAAGAAATTTAAATCATTTCACTCTGTGCTAAATATGGCGCTGAAGATGTTGTCCGGAAGGACGACGAAAGCTTCGCGACTAAACCAACCAGCTCAGAGAACACTTTTAATTGCAAATCATCCACCTGAGCTACAAATCTTCTCTATTATTTCGAAGTCATTAAGTGTCTAGAGGAATGTGGATTTTCCGTCTGAAGCTTTCGTGACAACTAGGACTTACTGTTGGTGACACTGATTGGTACACGTTGAGAGAAAACACCGGATAGCTAACATACATTATTGCAAAAGAGCACAACGTTATTCTTCAATGGTTTATGTTGCTGTCTCACGTCATCACATTAGGTATTAATTAATGAAAAAGGAGTCAAATACATGGGTACAATGCATGCTAATTTGATTATATAATTGTCTTCAAGCATTCTGGGGTTTTAGGAGCGTCAAATATCCTAACACAATTCAGGTCTTTGAAAAAAGACATGAAGAATTGAGAATCATGTCATAAGATGAAGGAATACAGTATGAGACAATTTTTAATTTTTTTAAAACTTTATTATAGCTTGACTCCATACAGTATTTTTGATACAAGTATGGAATTTTCAGCATGGGATATCAGTAGCGCAAATTTTGCAGGCCAACCATTAATATCGGGTGTGTGTCGGCCGGGGATAAGTGCAAAATGATACGTGGTGAATTGCCTTATCATTTTAATTGCTTATCAGCCATGTCCCTTCATATCTCTAAAAATATACCAGATGTTCCGAATTACTTTCCTCATAATAACATTTTACCTTATACTAAAATGGTGCCAGATGTTGAGCTTTGCATTACACCTTAAGAACACACTAACATTTCTCACGGATGCAGTGTGAGATAAAAAATTTCACAAAGGCGATTAAGTCTTCCATATTCATGCAGAAATACTTCGGGAATTAGTTAACTTACATTGTGAGAGGTGTGATGTGCTAAACCCTTTTTATTTTCACTTTCAGACAATGCGTTGATTTATATGAAAAATGTATCTTACAGCATTAGATTTTGGGATAAGTCAATCAACGTCTGATTATAGTCCTAGTGACTTTAAGGACCAGAGACTATCTGTGTAGGAATTGACCAGCTGACTAATAGATGTTGACATTCACATAAAATCGCATCATTTCAAGTTGACAAGCATCGGGAAAACACACAGAGTTAAGGAAAAGAAACGCAACGAGATCAGAGTGAACAAAGGTGTATGTGAAAGGAAAGATTTTCGGAATCTAGGGAAAGAAAACGAAATGTTACCTAGTAATTAATTGCAATTCCTTGCAGTTGGTAATGAGTCACACTATGAGGGTTACTGATACCACCTGGTTGCCCAATGCGAGGTAGACAGAGAGGGATTCAAACCCGTTACCCTCTGGCTGGAAGTCAAGAGCTTAGACCGATGAATCACAGCCCAAATCAGAATCTGGTTGATGACAATAGCAATTACATATACACTATCGTGAACCATGTGCAGCCAGATCCCCAAGAATCTTCAATCAGTGATTCTGGACAAGTTCGCGACCCCAAACAGACGATCACTATTTCTTTTATGTGGCTCATACCTACAATCTATGACTTTATTGACTGGCACCTTGCTTCGGTCTGGCCTCTTCTACCCCTTTGCTGATCTAATCCTATTTCAGCAAATGGAAGAGAGTAGTGGCACGGCATGACGCTTCCTGAACAACTCGTCGGTGGGGCTTCAAGGCTTAACCGACCCGTTTTTTCCCATGCTTTAAGCTGTAGTACACTTTCCGGTTCCTACCTATTTTTCTAAAAATGGTACCTATTACAGAACTATACACAACCACAGTGCCTATATCATATTCTTACAAAACGCAGATTCCCCCTAGAATCTCGCGCGTTATTGTCTTATCTGACACCAATATATTAGGCTATGAAAAATGACCAAAGTACCCATATATGAATTATAGGGAAAACGCCTTGGACTACAGTGATTAATAAAGTGAGTTCGTTTGTCTCCAAGTTGAGCAACTGATATTCCTTCATGGTTAGTCATGCGTTCTTAACCCTATTTAACCGAAGATATTAGTCAGGCTAACGTCTTCTTAATATGCCCTTTTAATAATGAAGATTATCAAACCTCAGTGGCAAAGTTAAACTTTCGACACCAGTAAAAACCAATCAGCAAACAACCTTGAACGGATCAATCACATGAAAGAGGCGTTTATTATAAGCGGAAACGTATATTTATAGAAAAATGCATAAGAAAATGATAAAACGGCTACAATGGGTATCTCTCCCGAACATGGGAGGAAAACATTTCCCAATTCAGCATGGGACTGTCAATAGAGAAGTCGCACCACATTCTCTACATATATTCATCTAAATGACTATAAATGAGATCCATTTATAGCCCTTATTCTATTTTTCAGTCGACCCCAAAATCCTTCAGTGAAATTTTTATGAGGCATTGTAACTGGATCCCCAAAGTCACTGGAGTAGTTCACTCTGTGATGCATGTATCCCAGGGATGACAAAGAATCATAGCCTTTCCAATCGTCGGTACGTACAATTAATCCCGGTTCCACAAGTCGCTTTATAGTAGGTACCAGAGTAGTCGCCATCCTGTCTGCTATTCTTTCAACAAATACTTTTCGGAGGGACGTGTCGTATGAACCTATCACCCAAATATTGTTCGCTCTCTGACGACCGCGGTTGTATTTCTTCTTCACCAACATTGTCTCATCCACATGGACTACTACGTCGTCCCCGCCTAACAACGAAGTAATTCTGTCCATTCTCCATAAGGTGAGTCTCTGCAGTGCTGGTACCACTGAACTGCTGAGACGAGGCTGTTCTGCGTCTCGGCAGCAGAGGCTCTCACGGGCTGTTTCAGTACCCAGTAATTGCAAATGTACCAAATCTGGGTTAGAGAGAGATGCGACCTAGCAAAAACAGTTCCTAAGAAATATTACCCTCTATAATACTAATTCGCTTACAGCAAATTCCACAACGATGTACAAAACCATCAGTTGACCTAGTATAGCTTTTTAGAGTCATTACACCACCACACGAACAACTTCTCTCCTTTCCAAACAAGCCTGAGTCCAGGAAATACTGAAAGACACTATCCTCCTCGAATTACAAACGTAACATTGTAAGGGCACGCATTGAAATGAGTCAAGCGCAATACAACATTGAACCACGTTCGTGAATCCCATTGGATAATTCCAATATCCAATATCGTTTTTACGAGCTAGTATAAACCAATCTGATTTCTTTGTGCTCGCCTCTTGATTGTGAGGTAGAGGTTCCTGATCTTCGGTAAACGTCTGCGTAGCTCATCCCGCCACTCGACTGCCGTAGCTTTGGTTGGCTCCGAAAGGAGTAGTGCAGGGATTAATTTTATGTGCTTTGTAGTATGAGGTGTGTTAAGACTGTTACTACTGTGAATGGAGTTGATCCTTTCACCAGTTGGTCCTTCGGTATCGTCGTCAATAGAAAAGAGATAATAATAATAGATATAATTAGTGAAGTTATTCAGACTAACAGACAGAAAAAGAATAAGAAAACGTAACAACAGTCAGTCAACCGGTACATGTATATACCAGTAATAATGATAATAATAATAGGTGTAGTTAAAGCTGTCAGGAGAGTAAGACTGAAGAGAATGTAAAGAAGTAAAACGACCAGTTTAATTGTCTACCTTTGAATGGTGCATGCGATTTTAAGGGGATAGGCCATTTGGATGCAGTCCTTGTGTCGCTGCATGGTTGTCCAGCCTTCGCTTAAAGGCGTCCACAGATGGTGCCATAGCTACATCTGCCGGTAAGGAATTCCAGGGACAGCAAACCCGCAGGGAAAAGAAGTGGGAGCGCACCCGGGTTGTTGCCCTCTGATGAGCTATCCTTCTAGGATTTCCACGAGGGAGCCTATATCTACTCAATGGCAGAACACCTTTGTTTGGGTGATTCTGATCATTTGTTATTTTGTAGGCAGTAATTAAATCCCCCCCAAGGCGATGGTAACTGAGTGTGAATAGGCTTAATTTCTTCAGCCTTTCATCATATGGTTTATTTCGGAGACCAACCACTCCTTTTGTTGCCCGTCGCTGGGCTCTTTCCAAGAGGTTGGCGTCTCTTTTAAGCAGTGGGGGTGCAATGATATTATGCACTTCAAGATGCGGTCTGACGTATGTTTTATACAACCTTAGAAAGAGCTCAGGAGTGAGTGCACCTAATTGTCTATGTGTAAAGTGTATGACCGCATATGCCCTCGCTACATCCCCCATGTAATTTACGCTTGTGTCCATTTTCTCCGTTAGAACTAGACCTAAGTCACGTTCCGACGTTGAGCAGGACAAGCTTTCATTGCACAGGGTGTAACTTGCATTCGACGTCGTTCGCTGATTGGTAGTTATTGGTGTCTAAAGTTTAACTTGGCCCTGGCATAAAACGTGAAAGATAGAAGTTCCATCACGACCATGGTTATTTCTGGCTAATTATGAACGTGAAATACACTTACCAAGTGTGAATATAAATGGCAATGGATAGAGGCACACACGACATTATGGAGAGGCTGAGCACTTCAAGGTCACTTGTGTATATTGTGATTGGTGTATTCACCTTTGCATAAACGCTGCGGCTAATACGTAGCATACGTTACTGAGGCAGGCTTTGAAATGATAATAATAAAAATCGCATAAACATTACATTTTTCAGCTTAATGGGACAAGTTGACATACGTAAAATTTTACAGATGTGTCATGCATTGGATCCAATAACAAAAAGAATATTATTCCGTAACATAATCAAAGAGGTATAAAATTTGAAGGTTTAGTCCTTTTTCAGCTGATTGTAACGGACGGATAGGAGAGGCAGTTGTGTAATATATACATTCTGCAAAAGGCAAACTGTGAAAGATAAATCGGAAGTTCTGTAATCCTTAAAATGTGTCATAGAATATATGTACCAATCTTACCAATTATACTATTGTTCCCTCCCTTGTTGACATATTCATTGTGGCTAAGATAAGGAACTGTTCACCTAAGGTAAGATTAATCCACTTGATATGTATACATCCCTAGATATTTCTCAGTGCGGCCGGAGGCGGTCGAAGGAATACAGTCTCGATCATTGCACGGAAAAATCACAACCAGTTTCTTCTGAAGGATCGGGTGGTGCTGGAAGCTGTAAAGATGGGTCGTGTCACTATCATGTGAGGGAAACTGATCCACATATTGTGAATAAAACGATTAGTTGACTTTAATTTGACTATGATGTAGCCACAAAAAATCTACAACTGTAATTTCTTCACTGAAATGTTACAAACCCTTTTTAATTTGAAAATGTACTGCTTAACCGTTGTTCTTTTGTAAATATATGCATTTATGTCGACTACTTGTACCTCTCTCATTTATCATTTCGAGGGCATTGCATAGTTAACGAAATTGATAGGCAACGTAATAATACTTATGTGAATTGCATCATAGTCGTAAGCCGTTATTATTCCCTCAGTGCGTCATCAAGCCTCGCATGAAATGTTTCAGTTACATTTAATCCGGTTGCGCATAGTATAAGTATGCATTAGTGTTGAGAAGAAAAGATCGTCAAACATGTGTTTGTATTGTTTGCAGGACGACTACGGTCATCGAAAATAACTTATTATAGATATATCCTATTTAAGATAATTATCCTAGTATTCTTATACTGCGCATATTATCATTCTTTCGAAGTAAATCATTATGCATTCCAAAAATAGCTATATCACTATTCCTTCGACAAGCAAAACGAAGTAATAATACAAGAATACAGTGAAAACTTTTAAGAAATCTCACCATATAACGTGGAAATAATTTTTCGCATTCTGGAATATCGTGGTCTATATTTGACTACTACATAATTATAGCTGATATTGCTTGCCCCTCCGGTAGCTAAATATCCAAATTTATCACCTCCAGAATACTGTTTGGATCCAGTGAGATTCGTGTTAATAAAGAGCAATCTGTCACAAAAGAACCATAGAGAAGTCCTCAGTTTTGTGGTTTATAATTATCAGAGTTAACTCGTTTGATAGTGGTCTATTTTTGTTTGTACTTCATACCTGTTTATTGTTGTTTTTATCTATTTAGATAATATAACAGTATTTCACACACTTTTGTCAATTTTTGAGAAAATTTTATAATCTTTACCTGCATAATGGTCAAAGTTATTAAACGAGTTAGTACTGTTAAGAGACTAGCATCAAATAGTCAGCAGGACACTAAAAACATCAGTCCTGACGATGGATTTGCACTAAGATCAATCGATACACCGAGAGTTTTAGTACCAAACTTAACGGAAGAACTAATTGATAACGTAGCGAGTAATACTATTGATCTAAAGATCCTTCAGAAATCCATAACAGACCTGCAGGCTAAGTTTGAAAGTATTACTCCTTTCCTCCAACTTTGTGATCCATCACAAGAGATTTCCTTAGATTCACTCCTCAAATCTGAGCACCTGCTAGACTTTTTGACTGCAGAGGCTGTAAAGAGGGTCATGTCCTCATACAATGTTTTAGGATATAATATACCTGACAATGTACCTATTGTCAAACTTAAAGCAATCTGTCTACAGGCATGCAACATTTCAGTATCTGACTGCCAGGTTCTGCGTCTTCGTAAGAAATCCGCAAACCACCCATGTCCTGTACTGTTCAAATTTAAGTCTGTTGATCTAGCTAAGAAATTTTTGGAGTCTGGCAAAACTCTTAGCTCCTCAACACCCTACACCAAAATCAGGATTGTACCTGATTTAACTTCTTGCCAAAGACGGTGCCGCGCAGGTAAATTGAATGAGAACAACCCCAATAAGACAACCGAAGTTAATACTTCCCTCGTTGTATTGCCTTATGACCAAGAGCACCAGACAATATCGCATACACAAACTAAGAGTAGTCAAGCAACTGTTGAAGACCTAGCTCTAAATACGGAAATTTCAGACATAGAAATGTTAACAGATCACAGTATTGACGTGCAACCCTTGCACACTGGCACTTATGCCAAACCCTCGAAAAAGTCTAAGCTGAATTCAGTTGTACACTCTGAATCTCTCGGGAAGTCATATACCGCACAACCTCTTAGCACGGCAACTGTGAAGCAGCAATCACATGTGGCCACCCAGGTAGGCGTAAATACAAGGCGATATGATAAGCGTCCTATTTCCGTTAGGAACACCAAAAGAACTGTTGATACTATTCAACAGAAATCCAGTTTATTGGGAAATCCTAATGATCACCAGCAGCCCAAATTACACAAGCCGAATAATACGGAAAAGGCTAATCCGAACGTTAGACCCAGAACACTAAAGCCCATAATTACGAAAGCTTCGAATGGGTCACTGGCTCATTCTACTGGTGGACAATCATCTAAACTTAGTCATGTTCCTGAAGTTAGACGTAATTCACATACCGTAGGAGCTTACTCATTTCCGACTTCCACTCCTAGTCCTGTGATAAGAAAAAATAATCGTCACATTTCTCACCAAACACTTCGAAAACACGAAGTTGCTCAGCCCCTCACGAATGCACTCCCAACCATGATGTACAGGAAACACCAGTTTGAGAATACAGACGTTAGTCCAAAAACACGTATAGCGCCCTGTCATAATTCTCATGCATTCAGTAGGAGTCACATGCCAATTTCAACACAATGCTCATCATGGCCTAGGAAGTTCTCTAACCAGACACAAGGATCTAAGTCATATGCACACAACAACACGCCGACCACCCATTTCGGTTATAACTATGCAGACTACAT